GCTTCGGTGGGGTGCAGTGGGGCAGGAGCAGCTGCCCCCCAGGAGAGGTCGGAGGGGGGCCGACGCTGCTGGGACCAGTAAACTCACATAACTGGGAAGGGCTGGGAGCAACCGCCTGCCCCTCGCACCCCGAAAGCCCTAAGGCAGCCCAGCGAGTGCCCTGGGAGCAGGGCCGTGCCCGTGCCTTCTCAGGGCGAAGGGGGGGAGGTGCCCCCAGAGAGCCAGCCCGGCCGCGGTGTCGGGGCGGCACCGGCCCCCGCAGCCCCCGGTTCAGTGGCTGCTGTTGCTCATGGAGAGCCCAGGTTGCAGCGCTTGAGGGAACATCTCGGCTTTGTGGAAGGGCGGCATGTAGACGGGAGGGGAGGGCGCCAGGCTGTAGCCCTGGGACGTCACCGGGATGGGCAGGCCGGTGGGCACCAGGGACTGGTTCATGTCGTACATCACCCCCTCCGCCTCGTTGCCGAAGGGCAGCAGCAGCCGTTTGCCTTTCTGACGCCGGTTGCAGAACCAGACCCGGACCACCTGCGAGGGAGGGGAGACGAGGAAGGGTGAGAGCCCAGGCGCTGTGCAGGTGACAAGGGGCCCCTTCTGCTGGTGGAGTCTCCACAGCACCCTGACCCGCCAGCACAGCACCCTCCCTGCCACAGCTCCTCCTGGGGCTGGGCTCGGGCAGGGGGTGGCTACCAGCCCCGGCCACCCTCCCGCAGCTTCCAGCATGAAACTGGCCTGACGTGGGCGCTCAGGAACCGCAGCCGTTTGGGCACCCACCCTGCAAACCCTCCCAACCTACATCTTTGTCCAGGTTGAGGTCCTCCGCGATCTGGGAGATCTCCTGGGGACTGGGCTTCACGCACTTGCGGAAGAAGCTCTCCAGCGTCCCCTTCACGTTGGTCTCGATGCTGGTCCTGCGTTTTCTCTTCCGGGCTTGGGCCAACACTTGCTCCGCATTGCACATCTGGAAATGAGGGAGAGGCCACACGCGTGGTCACAGGGCTAGCAATGTCCCCGCCAGGCTCCGGACACGCGTGCGGCTGGCTGCAGAGGTCTGGGAGGGATGGGGACAGGCTCTGTCCCCGTGACTGTCCACTGAGTGCCACCCCACTGCAACTGCGGCCATTCGCAGTGGCCCAGCACCACCTGTAGCTGGAGCGGCGGGGATGGACACATCATCTCACACCCCTCCAGGCTCCCCAGGGAGCAGCGAGCTGCACCTCCAGCTTATCCGAGATTCCAGCAGGACCCGGTTGCTGCCACGGTTGCCACAAGGTGTCTGTGGGGGGATTTGGGCTCCCCCCAGCCTGGCGGAAGGCAACACCCAGCGGTTCCCCGCACAGCCGGACGGAAGCCAGGGCAGCGAGATGCTGTGGCATGGGACGGCTGCTGCTGCCCTCCTCTCCCCCAAAAAGGACGTGTAAAGGGAGGAGGCGCTGCAGGTCGAGGCTCACCGGTGCGCGGTACCCCCTCCCCGTACCTCCTGCATGTTGTCCGTGTTCTCCGCCTCGTTGAGCCAACGCTGCAGCAGCGGCTTCAGCTTGCACATGTTCTTGAAGCTGAGCTGGAGCGCTTCGAAGCGGCAGATGGTCGTCTGGCTGAACATCTTCCCTGTGCAGACAGGCAGGGCGTCAGGCACCGCTCCTGCCCCTGCCCCTGCCCCTGCAGCCCCCCTCCAGCACCCCCTGGCCCTGGGGATGGGGGATCAGGAAAGGCATTCTCCCTGCTGCTTTAGCAGGGATTTAAAGCACTGAAACACTCTTCAATAAGCAGCTGTAGCGATTTTAAACCAGTTCCTCGTTATCAAACCCCTCCAGCTTGAGCGAGCACTTAAGCAGGGCTGGGGAGCCCCGGGGCTGGTGCTCACCGCCTCCTTCGCAGGTCGTTAAGGAGCAGAAATCTCCATCGCCCAGGTGCTCCATCCCCCTCCCGGGCCTCTCCCTTCCCCCCGGGTGTGGGGGGGAGGCCAGGACCCGCGCCGGACCCCCCTTACCGTAGAGGGTGCCCAGAGCCAGCCCCACGTCAGCCTGGGTGAAGCCCAGCATGATGCGCTTGTGCTTGAGGTCCTTGGCGAACTGCTCCAGCTCCTCCGAGGTTGGCGCATCCTGGCAGGGGCAGAGACAAACCTGAGAGGGGACAAGTGGCACCCAGGGGCTGCCAGGAGCGGGGTCTGTCGGGGCCAGCGTGGGGCGGGGATGG